TGGGTCAAGTTTAATAGAGCTCTTCAAATCTTCCATATACTTACTGTGTTCTGTTTACTTGTTTTATCAGTTTTTGAGAGTTATTGTCTATTTGTCTATTTTTCTCTGTAGTTCTCTCAGTTTTTGCTTTACATATTTTGAAGCTCCATTATTAGTTGCATATACATTTAAAGTTGTTAGATATTCCTGATAAATTAACCCCTTTCTCATAATGAAATGTCCCTCTTTATCTCTGGTGTTATTTCTTGTCTTGAAGACTGTCTTGTCTGATATTAATACGGTCACCAGCTTTCTTATACTTAGTATTTACATATTATCTTTTCCTAACCCTTACTTTCAAATTCTTTGTATCTTTATATTAAGTGTGTCTCTTATAAGTAGTCTATACTTGCATCTTGCTGTTATAATAGTCTGACAATTTCTGCCTTTTAGTTCTTTTTCTTTTAGTCTGATTATTTATATGACTTGATTTAAGTCTACCGTCTCACTGTTTGCTTTTAATTTGTCCTGCCCATTCTTTTGTTCTTTGTTTATCTTTTCCTGACTCCTTTCAGGTTGACAGAAGTTTTTATATTCAATTTTCTTTCCTCTATTGACTTCTCTTTTTGAAATAACACATTGTATTATTGTTTTAGAGTCTGCTGTAGAGAGTACAGCATGCATACTTAGCTTATTAAAAAACATACCAATTTATTTACAATGGAAGAATAGTACATTATAATTTCATTTGTGCTCCTTTGCATTTACAAGTTTTTATATATTTTACTTTTACATAATCACTCAATACAGTTATTTTTTATTTAAATATTTATTTGATTATAAAGAATTTGAGACAATACTCTTTTATATATTTCAATATGTTTACAGTTTCCACCATCCCTTTTTATAGGTCTGTATTTCCATTTGATATCATTTCCTTTCAGTCCTGAAAATTTCCTTTAGAATTTCTTGCGGTATTTTTTAAAATCTAAATAACCCATTATTTCAAGTTCAGTTTAAAATGTATTTTCTCTGAGTTAGAATTCTAGACTTCCGCCCACTCCCCACACTTCCAGAATGTCATTCCATTTTCTCTTGGCTTTCATTGTTTTTGTAATGAGTCAGCTGTCATTCCTATTGTTACTTTCTGACTGCTTTCAAGGTTTTTCTCTTTACTTTGATGTTTAGTAGTTTGACTGTAATATGCCTTTGCTTTTATTTTAATTATACTTTTTGAAATTTACTGGGATTCCTGAATCTCAGGACGATAGTTTTCTTCAAATTTCAAACATTATGTCTCCACATATTTTTTTCTGCGTTATTCTATCTTTTCCTTCTAAGACTTCCATTTCACTTAAGTCAGACTGTTTACTATTGTCTTACAGATCTGTGAACCCCTGATTGTTACTGTTTCATTTTCTTCCTTATATTTCAGTTAGGGTAATTTCTACTGATCTGTCTTCAAGTTTACTGATTTTTATTTTCTTTTCAGTGTCCAATCTGCTATTAAGACTATCAGATAATTTTTTCCAACAATTTTGGCCATTATATTTTTCTGTTCTGAGATTTTCATTTGGTTCATTTTTAGTTTTCTTATCACTCTTTGCATTCTCCAAAGAATGCATTCTCTCACCCATCATATTCATCTTTTCTTGTACATTGTTTTACCTATTTGTAATAATTATTTTAAAAACTTTTCCTGCCAATTCCAACATCTGGGTCATCCATGAGCATGCTCCTACTGTTTTTTCTCTTGATTACGCATCATATTTTCTTATTTCTTTGCTCGTCTATTGTATACTGAACATGGTGGATTATACACTGTAGAGACTGTGGATTCTTCCCTTTTAAACATGTCAGGTTTTATCTAGCATGCAGTTAAATTACTTGTGTCATATCCATATCCCATGAATGCTTGTTTTAAGTTTTGTTTGGGTAAACATGTTACATTTTTGCCTGTAGAATGTGGCCCTTAGTCCTACAACATGATTCCAACTTGTAAGGTGTGGCCCTTCTTGGGTTCCAGTGAAAAGCTCAAGCACCTGTAATTTGACAAGACTTGAACTTCATTTTTGTTCCTAGCACTGAACAAATGTTTAAATCTATATTCAATTCTTTAACTTTCCATTTTCTTTCCTTTATGTTGCTTAGAGACTTTCTTGCCTTGCACATGTACAATTCAAAAATCATGTAATAATTTGGGGGGAACAAGTTCACAGATCTTAGGGGTTACCCTTAATTGTGTCTCTCCTTTAATGCTGCCTTCTAACTTTGTAGTCTAGCTAGACCACCACTTCCTGCTTGGGCTCTTTCCCTTGTACTAGTTACCTGGCCAGTACCTTTGGGGAAAAGGTTGGTTAAATAGGAATTCACCTAATGTGTTTCTCTCCTCTCAAGAGATTATGTGGTCTCCACTGTTTCTCTACTCCCAATAATGAGAGAAGCAGTACATGCCTCATGACAGAGAGAAGACCCTCAATTCATTTCAAAAAGTTTCTCATTGTTGGGCATTCTTTACAAGTAAAGGAGACTGACCTGGCTCTGACCAGAACCACTGGTTCTTTTCATTTTGTGAACACTACTGAGTCATGAGGAAACAGTGTTGAGGAGATCAGGGAATGTAGTGTCCTGTTGTGTCTCCAAAGGTCCTACCAATGATTCATCTCTGAGTGTATAAGAGCCACAGTAATCTGTCCATGCTTGGTGGGGGTCCACTGTGGAATCACGGATTGCATTTATGGTTCATGAAGTTGGCAGTATTTGGGAGAAACTAGCTACTCCTGGAGACAGAGAAGAGATTCATCCTCAGTAAATCCCCACAGTCTGTTTAGATGCATCCAACTTCCTAGAAGCCATCAAAATGAGTGGTCTCCACAGAAAGGATCGTTCCATCCTGAAAGGTCTCTCACTACTGATTTGGAGTGTGAAGATTGTGAGGTACTTAGCATAAGCCAGTATGCCACTGTGCACATTTTACCTATGTATTAACTCATGTAATTCCTCAATCTTGTGAGGTTGGTTGTACCGATTTATGGTAAATGTCAGAAACCCTGATTTCTGAGTGGTTGACATGATAAAGTTAGTTACTCACTCATGTTACAATCTAATGCAGATATTCCTGACTGGGTTTCTCTCTTCCAGTGGTGATTCAGGGACCCAGGCATGTCCATTTTAGCTCCATAATTTCCAGTATTTGGCTTCCAAGTTTCCATAAGGGTTATCTACATTCCATCCAACCAGAGGGGTAAAGAGTATGGAGAGTCACATGTGGGGGAGGAGAGGGTGATGGGCTGGGTGGACATGGTACCCATCACTCTATCCACATTCCATTGGCCAGAAATCAGTCATGTGGCACATCTAACTGCAAGAGAATTTTGGAAACCTGGGGTAGCTGTCTGACCTGGAATAAAATAATGATGATGGTGATGATGATGATGGTGATAATGGTGATGATGATAATGTTCTGGTGAACACATAACAATCATTGTTACAGAGGTACTATAGTATGTCCATTTTACAGATAAAGTAATTGAAAGACAAGAGGGTTAAGAAGTTGTCCAAGGTTACACACCAGTGACTGGCAGAGCTGGGATTTAAACCCAGGTCATCAGTCTCCAGCATCCACATTCTCATCCTCATACATCCTGCCTCAGATTTATTTTAATTTCTGGGAAGATGCAGCTGGCCATCTGGGTTATAAAGCAAAAAGGCTAGTGTAGAACAGCAGCCACATCTGTGCTGAGTGAATAAGGGAACGGAGGAATCCATAAACGGGAAGGACTTCTGGTCTCTGAGTCAGCCCCAAGACATGCCTTCCTTAGGCAAAATGTCATGTTCAGGTAGAACTTAACTTCTGAGCCTGGTTGTGAAGAAGTTCTGAAGACCTTTATCACAGTATATGATGAAGAGCAGAGGTGTATTTGTCTTTGCTGATGGGATTCAGGCAGCCAGTGGTGTGAATCCTGCTTCCAGTCTTTAATAGCAGAGTGACCTCCCTAAACTTCCATTTCTGGAAGTTTATAAAATGAAAATGTACTGAAATCACAGGGCTGTTGTGAGGATTGCATGATATAAAGCATTTAAAGTGAGTAGGAGAATGTGTGGCACATAGAAAATCATCAATTAATAGCCACTGCTTTCCAATCTAGAAATTCATAGGCATGGGGGAACATGAGCAAGATCTCGAAGCACGTGGACTCATAGCTCTCCTCTGCAAAGTTGCAAACACATTCCTTCAAAAATAAAGTGATCATTACTTCCAAACAGGAAGATTTGGAGAGTTTTTCCCCAGATCTGGAGAAAAGGGAGCTGCGCATGGGTGTTGGAGTGAGGGCTGGCCACCACACTCTCACTAGGAACCCCTGCTTGCTTGTTGCCTGGATTAACTGCTCAAGACCCCTCCCCCTGCAAGACCCAGTGAGCAGACTGGCTTAAGGACAGAAAAGCTATGTCAGCTCCTGCCACGGAAAAGTCTGCATGCAGAGCAGGAGTCTCAGGTCAAATGCCTTCATCTGAATCCAGTCTCTCTCTATCTTTCCATTTTTCTCAATTTCATGGGGTGCTACAATGGGTGATAATGTCGAGGCTTGAGTTCTCTCAAGTCCAGTGAAGCGAGAGAGAAGAAGGGGTGAGGCGAGGAGGGAGTGCTCATCTGCCAAATGCCAGTATCTCACTGGCTCCTCTCTGAGCCAATTGTGTCACTAACAGGCCAGAGTCACCTGGGGCAGAGTAGCTCTGTCCAGTCACATACCCAGAACAGGTAAGGAAGTGGTTCTACAAAGAGGATTCAGGATCACATTTCCCAGAAAAGGGTGAATAAATACTGAGTTTTTTTCAAAAAGTGCATTTGCCCCTCTAGGTCACTGACCGTGAGCTTTCCCACTTCTGCTTCTGATTTGTTCTTTTTCCCTGGAGACTTTAACAAATGATCTCATTTCCAGGTGAGATAGGCAGAGCATAGTCACAGCCCACCTGCCTGGTCCATGCCCTGAAAGCATCTGTTCCCTTTTGTCTCTTCCTAGGTCCTCCAGCACCCCCACAAGATGTCACTGTCCAAGCTGGAGTCACCCCAGCCACCGTCCAGGTCTCCTGGAAACCTCCCATGCTGACTCCCACTGGGTTGTCCAATGGCGCAAACGTTACCGGCTATGGCGTGTATGCAAAAGGGCAGAGGGTGAGTTTTTATTGGGGGGGGAGTGTTAGGCTCTTAACTCAGCAGCGACTGATGCCACGTTTTGTCAGTGGACAAAGGACAACCTGCTCTTCTAGGGGTGACCACTGGAGCATCCTCAAAGACTCCACCAGCATCACCAACATTTATTAAACATTACTTGCACCCCAGCTTCTTCTGCTGGAACAAACCTGAGAACTGAGGATGCTCCATCTTTTCCAGTGCCTTCTTTGTTTCTGGCATTCTTTCCACCTCCCTACCCTCATTGGTTACCTGCCTTGCTCTGGGTGTTTCCTGTTTTCCTTCCAGTATTAAAAATTCACCTCTCTCAAGTTCCTCAATATCCGGGATTCTTCAATCAGTGGCTAGCTTACTAATTTCAACAAACTGATTTTTGGCAAGATGATATTGATGGCCAAAATGAGTCCCTCCTTGCACATATTGCATGGTTGGTGTATCAATAGGTGGCTAGGCCTTGATTCCTTGATGCCCAGTGCAGGGAACCCACAGCCTCAGCCTTCTCCCTGTCCTGGCAGATGGAGTAGAACCCTCTGCTCCCCCCACCACCCTGCCCTGTCCTCCCCTCAGAAGCAGGTGTTTTGGAAACAGTCACAATGTGTGCGTGAGGCCTGAGCTACCTCCGGCTGCTCTGCCAGAGCTGCTTCCTGTGGGTGCCTGCACTCCCCCCCTCTGCTCCCCCTGCTCCATGTGAGAAGCTCCTCAGGGCAGCCCTGCCACTGCAGAAGAGGCCTGAGCGCTGCCTTCTCCATAGCAGTAGGAAGTCCTTTTTGGCTTCTGCCCATGCCCCTTCCCTCCCTCCAGTTTCAGCAGCAATAACCTCATATTTAGATCTCACTATGCACTATGGCCCCTACATCTATTTCTCAATTGGTTCTGAAGATGGAAGATAAAGGGGTCTGCTTAGTAGTCCTTATCAAAACTCCAGCAGCTGGTTAGGTCCAGGGGTCTCTAAACCTCACCTTTCTTCCCCTCTGAGACTTTCCTAGACTTTCCAGCTGTGCAGGGGGGCTTGAGCTGAATGTGATCCTTTGCGACAAGAGTCTGGTTGGAGGACTGGCCAGTTCCCCATTCAGGGTGGTGCCGAGAGAGGCGTTGCCCGAGCTGCAGGGGCAGCCCATAATCTGGCTTTCTCTGTGTGCAGGTGGCTGAAGTCATCTTTCCCACCGCGGACAGCACAGCCGTGGAACTCGTGCGACTGCGAAGCCTGGAGGCCGAGGCTGTGACTGTGCGGACCTTCTCTGCACAGGGCGAGTCCATAGACTCTTCTGTTGCTGCCATTCCCCCCAACCTCCTGGTGCCTCCAACCCCCCATCCCAGAACTGCTCCCACACCGAAGCCATTAGCAAGTGCCGGAGCCCCTGATACCAAAGATGAACACGTGGGTCCCCATGTCAAGATGGATGAGGCATGGGAGCAGAGCCGGGCGCCCACCCCCGCGCATGGCCACCTGCTGGAGCCACCAGGCTCGCAGGGGCGGCGGTCACCATCACCCAGCCGGATCCTCCCGCAGCCACAGGGCACCCCGGTCTCCACTACTGTCGCCAAGGCCATGGCCCGGGAGGCCGCGCAGAGAGTGGCTGAGAGCAGCAGGGTAAGGATGGGCTCTTCCCCTGGGTTGGTCCCTTGGCCCCTGGGGTGAATTCTGCCCTCCTGCCTGGTGCGGACAGAGACGCTCCTCCAACACCAAGTCTGTGGCGACAAGTGCTTCAAATGCATTCGCCCAGAGCCCCGAGCTGGGCTGGGAAGGAAGGACTCTGTTTATCATTCAGCCTCTCCTTGGGCTGTGTTTTGTGCCTGATCCTGATTGAATTAAAATGTGTTTTTATTCTGTGAATATGTAGCCAGATAACCCAGGTCATGCCAGGCACCTTCCTGGCTTAGAAAGTGGCTGTGAAAAGGCAAGGAGCAGGCTTTGGTCTGTGCCAGTGTCTGAGAGTTTTCTACTCGAGGTGGGCCTGAGATTCTCTTCCTGACACACACACACATATGTACGTACATATAGACATACATGCATAGATAATCTGTATACCTACATACATTTATATGGACAACTACATATAGAAATGCATACAGATATATAAATGTGTGTACATATATTGCATGCCTAGTTCTAGACATTTTCTGGGTCATGGGGTATTGGAATGTGGTAGGGCCATATTCCACATGATATGTGCAACAAGACATGAAATTTTAAGAAATTGCCCATAAAGTGACAACTCCCCTCCAGGGCTAGGGGAAGAGGATCCGAAACTGAGCTAGACCATGCACCCCTCCCTGCCTGGGACAATCTCCATCTCTCTTCTGGTGCCCCGGTCTGCCAGCATGCCACATTTGCAGTGAGCCATGTCAGGGCCCTCTGGTTGCTAGGTCAGCCTGTGAGGTCTCACCAGGACAGTGAGCCTGGAGATGCCTATGCAGTGCTGGGGGTCAGGTCAAGGAAACTGAAGAGGGACTGGAGCTGAGCAATAAAGGTGTTGGCATCTGTGAGGCAAGAATGGAAATCTAGGCTTTTCTATGACATCTCCTAATTTGTTCAACTTTAGCCACTAGTACTTAAAAGAAATTAAACAAGGATTTGTGACCTTTATCTGGAGGAAATCCTTCAAAATATGCAAACTCATCAGGGCTCTGATTGGCTCATGAGACAGGAGCCCAGGCCCCAAATTTGGGCACTTGGTGCCTTTGGCAAAGTTTCATAGGTAGGGAGGGGTGGCAGGTGAGGGCTTCTCTTCTGCTTGTTTGGATGCAGCCACCACTGACTCCCCCTCTCCAGGCCCCAAAGAAACCCTGCCTTAGTCCATTTTCAGCTGCTTTAACAGAATACCATGGACTGGGTAACTCATAAAGAGAAGAAATTTATTGCTCACAGTTCTGGAGGCTGGGAAGTCTAATATCAAAGTACTGGCATCTGGTGAGGTTCCTGTTGTGTCTATCCACAGTGGACAGCAAAGGGCACCAGAGCAGTGGGTGAGAGAGAAGGAAGGGGGTCGAACTCATCCTTGTATCAGGAGCCCTACTCCTGTAATAACTTACCCGTGTCTGTAATAACTAACCCACTCCCCTAATAACTAACCTACTTTCATAATAACTAACCCACGCCCATAATAACTGTGTTAATCCATTTGTGAGGGCAGAGCCCTCATGACCTAATCACCTCTCAGAGGTCCCGCCTCCTGATGCTGTTGCATTGGGGGTTAAATTTCCAACACATGAGCTTTGGGGGACACATTCGGAACAGAGCAGGTGCTGAGAGCAGGAAAGCCTAGAGCTGCTGGCTCTGGCTCTTCCTTGCAGAGGGCCTGGAGGAAAAAAAAAAAAAAAAAAAAACACTTCTCTGTCTTCCATTTCAAGAAAATGTTAATGGATAAAATTAAAGCTGGGCAGTGGAGACATCCAACAGAGGGAGATGATTTTCATTTGTGTCTATAAGTTACCCTAAGCAAAGGTAAAAACTAATTCTGGTAAGCATGGGGAGGGGAGAGAGCTGGGCCTGATGTCCTAATGGAAAAACCCCAGAGCAGAAGCTGGGGCATGTGGCCTAGAGTCCTTTGTATTTGCTCTGAGAGAGCAACGTGGGGCCCAGAATGACTTCAGGTGGCTCAGGGTGTCTTTTCCAACCCTTCCTGACAGCTCCAGCTCATCTGTTTGTTTCCTTTTTCTTTCCAAGTTAGAGAAAAGGAGCATCTTCCTAGAAAGGAGCAGCTTGGGGCAGTATGCCAACTCGGATGAGGAGGACGGCTATGACTCTCCAGATGTCAAGAGGAGAGGTGCTTCAGTGGATGACTTTCTGAAAGGGTCTGAACTTGGCAAGCAGGTGAGCACCGGATGGCCCCATGCCATCAGCTCCTGGTTAGCAGTGGCTTTGGCCAGGCCACTTGGAAATCAAGAGACACAGTGATTTTCCTTCCCACCACTTTTGGGCCCATGAGAAAGAGGAAGAGATGCCAAGCCTGGGTTTCAACAATCATATAGATTTTTAAAGTTTAGATTTAGCAGTGTTTGTGCATATAACCTCATATGGGGACAATTTCAAAAGTATAAATGGGAGGCTTCCACCCTCCCCTACTGCTCTGTGCTGGTATCTGGTTATGAGGGCAGTTTTGTGGGTCAGGTTAGGGTTAGGCTGGTCTCAATTTAGGCAAAATTTACCATTTGCTTATTCACTTCTGTTAATTGAGCAAATGTTTGTTCTACATCTGCTGTGTGTTATGCACCATGGGAGAGTCAAAAACAAAACTGTCAGTATCCTCCCCTCAGAGCAGCAAAACACCAGAGCCAGGCTCATAAGAAACAATTTATTCAATTTGGGATTGATCTCCAATTTCTGATCATGCATATTCTAATAGAAACGACCTTGAACAGTGTAAAGAACTAATATTGAACAACAAGAGGAATCAGGAATAGCAAAGGGTCTAGAAAGGCCTTAAACCTTGGGATGTCAGAGCTTGAAGATGCCTCAGATATTGAACAGCCAACACCCTTCCACAGCAAGGCAGTGTGATGACCAGATAAGACGGGGGTGTTGGGATCTCACAGACCTGGATTCAAATTCTGGCTCTGCTGCTGCTAGTCGTAGCACCACAAGTAAACACCTGACTCCTCCAATCATGGGGTTCTTCATCTGTAAGATTAAAATTGTCAAGTTTGCTGAGTGTGTGAAAGACACTCAGTTGTGTCAGGGCTCTGGGTTCTGTCTCTTCTGTTCTCTTGGCCTTTTTCTCATGGTTACAAAGTGGCTACCATAGTTCCAACAATCATATCATCATATGACAGCATCCCAAGAAAGAAGAAAGAGATGAGTGGAAATCAGAATTCCCACTACATCTCACTGAGCAGACTGGGTCACAAGCTCACTACTCAGATAGGAATAGAATTCCTGTGAATGGTTTATCGATGGTTTATTCTCTTGGCATTGGGCACCTGGATGCTCAGACAAAATTGGTGTTCTGGAAACATAAGGAAAAAAAGTTACAATTTCTGTTGACTTTTGTATTGGTCAGCTTGGGATGCCATAACAAAATGCCAGAGATCAGGTGGCTTAAGCAACAGAAATTTACTTCTCATATTTCTGGAGGCTGGAAGTCCAAGATCAAGGTTCATTTCTCCTGAAGCTTCTTTCCTTGAATTGTAGACGGCTGCTTTCTCCCTGGGTCCTCACATGGCCTTTTCTCTGTGTACATCCCTGGTATCTTTTCCTCTTCTTATAAGGTCAACAGGCACATTGGATGAGGGCCCACCCTATGACCTCATTTAATCTTTATCATTTCTTTATAGATCCTATCTCCAAATACGAATGTACTGCAAAAAGTTCCTGGAAAAACAGAATTAAAAAATAATACAAATCTTTTCATGAACTTTTTGAATTACCCTTGTAAAGTCACACTGGCAGTTAGGTTATCAAAATACAAATTTGTGGGGAGGAAAAATTCAGTTCGTACAAATGTTGATCCAGTAATATCTGCCACTTCCTGACCACTCCACTTCCCACAGCCCCCTTCACCCACTTCCTCAGCCCCTCCTGTTCTTTCATACACTCAGCAAACCTGACATTCCAGTGAGCAGAAGCTTCAACCTCTAGTTGACTGCTGTACCTCTAGCATGTCATACACAGTAAGACTCAATAAATATTTGTTGAATTAATGAATGTTAAGAAGGGAGAGGTAGGGTACCCGACACATTTGCCCTGAAAAAATTACCTCCATTCTCCTAATATTGCAAATGTACTTCATTAGTAGATCCACAATGAGAAATGCTCAGCATACCAATAAATAACATATTTTTATATCTACAGGCATGTTTCTCTTAACAATGGGGATACATTCCAAAAATGCACCCTAGATGAAAACACCTAGATTTCATCATTGTACATCATACAGTGCACTTACATAAACCTAAATGGCATAGCCTACCGAACACCTAGACTATATAGCACAGCCTATTGCTCCAGACTACACACCTGTACAGCATGTTACTGTAATGAATACTGTAGGCAACTGTAATACAGTGGTAAATACTTGTGTATCTAAACATAGAAAAGATACAGTAAAAGTATGGTGTTATAATCTTCTGGTGCCACCATCGAATATGCAGTCCGACATTGACTGAAACATTGTTATACAGTGCATAACTGTATTTTTTATTTTAAAATGTCATTGACAAATAAAGATTGTATATATTCAAGATACACAATGTAATGATGTGATACACATACACATTGTATAACGATTGTCACAGTCACGTTGATTAGTACATCCACCACTACCCACACTGTACACTAGATCCCCAGGACTTGTTCATCTTATAACTTAAAGTTTGCACCCATATTAAATTTGAGAAAAGGAAATAGGCTTTTAAGTGGGAATTTAATTTGGAATTTTTATTTTGGTGAGGGGGCAGATGGTTTGCTGAGCTACAAGATTGAAGTTTTTTATAGTGATGTTTAAAAATCCTCTCTCATTGGAGGGGGCTTTACCTCAGCTTCTTTGTAAGTGGAATTCATAGCCATAAACCTCCTATTGGATGCTGGGGGTCAATACGTCTCCCCGGGTGCCTCCCCATTCCCAGGAAAGTTTGCCTAACTGCTGCATCCTCAACTGAGGACTGAAGGGCAATGCTGTGTGTCCCCCAAAGAAAAGCCACTGGGCAGAGATGGGTGGCAGCACTTGGGCTTGGAGTCCTCAGACCTGGACCTTGGTCCCAGACCCATCCCTTATAAGCTGGTCACCTCGAGCAAGCCACTCTACATCCTATAACGGTGATGATCACCCTTTACTTACAGGACTCTTCTAAGGATAGAGAGAATGACCTAAAGTATTTGGCAAACAATAGATGGTTCCTTCCATTCTATGAGTTAATCCCTAAGTAATCTCTGGATTTGAATGACATGAGACTGTGTTCTCATGTAGGGGAGTACCCTGAATGCCTTGGGAAGACCTCATTAAAACCAATCTGATATTTGTTTATTCATTTCAAATCAATCCACTTTTATGTCTTCCACTTGGCAGCTGATTGAAAGAATTAGGGCTAGAGCAGTTCAGATGCTGATGCTGCAGATTGCTCCGCTGAGACTGCTCCCATCTGCCCTCTCGTGGGCACAGTGCGGGTGGAACATTCTGCCTGTGTTGCTCATGCAATCTCCTCCTCAGCAGGCCATGAACTTGCTGTGCTTACATGTATCTATGTAGGTTAGTAATAGAATCCAGGGTATTTTTAATAAATATGTTGAAGATTGCTATTAAATGCATTTGTCTTGCCGCCCATCAGCAAAATAAATTGTTTTTAATTAACACCATCTAGCAATACAAAATATCTTTATGGATGTATTGCTCTCATAAATCTGAGCTCATCACACTGTGTAGTTTGAGTTGTTGAAAATTTGCTTACTTTGCTTTAAATACTGGAGTTATTGAATGATGAAGTGCTTTGTTGTAAGTGAAAACACAGCTGTGGAACTGCAATGGCACCATCATTGTGAGGGGCCACCAGGGTTGTTGGGTCTCAGAGTTGGCAAGTTAATTTTAAAGGACACTTTTTTTTGTTAAACCTTTTCTGCTGTCCCCAGCCTCTTCCCTGTCCCCCTCCCCATTTGGACAACCTTTATATGGTGTCTGGGACCCTGTGGGCGCAGAGTGAACCTGCTTCTTGTGCAAGGGCTTTGTCTCCTGTCACACCAGGCCATCTGCCAATGTCTTTTGTGTGTGTGTGTGTGTGTGTGTCTACTTCAGGATTTTTTTTTTTTTTTTTTTTTTTTGGCAGCTGGCTGGTATGGGGATCTGAACCCTTGATCTTGGTGTTATAACACCACACACTAACCAACTGAGCTCACGAGCCAGCCCCATGTGTGTGTATTTCAGATGACAGTATTTTTCAAAAACATTAAAGAATGCTTTTATATGGTGCATTTACACCTCACTTTACCACCAGCCCCACCACTCTCTCTTTCAAGACATCAGGTCCAGTGCACACATGCAATATGGCCCTGATCCCTACTGTCCTCTGAGTGTAAACCTCTGGCTTGAGCCTTTGTCTAGCCAGTACATTGGAGAGGCTGATGGTCCCCAGAAATAGAGGACTTTGCCCATGTGTCTTATAAGCCCTGGTGGGTTTCCTGTCTTGTCCAGAGCCCAAGCATTTCTATGCCTGTTGGAACTGGGAGACCTGTGCTGGTCCTATCTCTGCTGTTCTCATGGCTTGGATGAGTATGTTCTTTGTCTAGGCACATTTTTCTTACCTCTCCCATGAGGGGCATGCACCCACCAACATGCAGCTCTAGGTGCATAAGCAAGGACAGCAAGGGGAGCCTCCAGGATACTGGGAGAGCCTCCTGGTGTTGAGAGGCTATTCCTTCACTCTCTCCTGTGCTTGGCCCTCAGCCCCACTGTTGCCATGGAGATGACTACCACACGGAGAGCAGCCGGGGGTCTGACCTCTCAGACATCATGGAGGAGGACGAGGAGGAACTCTACTCTGAGATGCAGCTGGAAGATGGGGGCAGGAGGCGGCCCAGCGGCACCTCCCACAATGCCCTCAAGGTCAGTGGCTGGGGGGAAGGGATACCTGGAGTAGCTCCATCCTTGTCCCTTGGCTGAGGCTGCTGAGGCTGGCTCCAGAAGGGCCTCGCCCTGCAACCAGCCCCTGGATTTGGATTCTCTTCTTTCTCACTATTGAATTTGCATTTGGGAACTACCTATACCTCCTGTCCTACTCTTTGCCAAAAGGTCTGAATGAAGGAGTTTGGGGGAGTCCATGTGACACCCCAGGAGGGACCCAGCACTGTGGAATTGAACTGGAAGATTCAACCCCCACCTTCACATGCTCATCTGGGAGAGAATCAGCAGCTAAGGGCATGGCTAGGACTAGAGAAGGGATAGTGTGGAGCCAGCTGGAACTGTACCAGGTTCCTTCAGAGGAAGGATTGAAGGGGCCCTGCTTAGCAGGGGGGCAGGAGGAGCAGAAGAGAAGTGAGCCAAGTGTGGTGAGGTTAGAAGGGGGCTGGGCATGCAGGGATGGTTGTCCTGGGAGTCTGATCACACAGCCCAGCATGGGCAGTCTGGAGGCTCCCACAGGTCTGCTCAGACCACCTTCCATGTGTGACCCAACATCCCCTGCTTCCTCCTGTGGCAGAAGCCATCAGTGAGGGGTTCAGCAGGAGGTTATGTCATGAAAATTAAGCTTGAGGCCACTCTAGAACCAAGTAAGGGGCAGCCCCTCAGTCCTGGCCTTGGGGGGATGTTTGCTGCTGCTGCTGCTGCTGACCAGCAATGTGTTCTAGCTCATGAGTTTATTTGCTCACCGAGCAGGCGAGCTTCCACCTCTGTGCACCAGGCCCTGTGCTAGTTGGGGTGTGGGGGTGGGGGTGGCCCCCACCTTCCAGCAGTCCCCAATCTAGTGGGGGAGACAGGTGAAAGGCCAACAACTTGTAGATTCTTGGTGGGTTTTCAAAACTAAAAAGGCCTTGGAGAGGAAAATTTCGTAGTGGGATGAGGCACTCCAGCACTGCATTCCTCCAAGAACACAGAGCATTTTGAATGGTGGACTGGAGGCAACATCCAAATCTGGCTGCCAACTTGCATAGACAAGACTGACTTATGTTCTCCCAGCAAAGGCCGCTGGCAGGGCCTCAGGTGTCCTGTCTCCAAAGAACATGCCAGATCCCTATGCAAATCCTGCATGTTTGCAGCTCCTGCTATTCCCAGTGTCCCCCACCCCTACTCCCACCTCCCAGGTGACATGGAGCAGGCTTCACACTGGCCTTTCCTGAGTGGTTCAGTGTGGCCCCCATGCAACTTCCCATTCTGTGCCCAGAACCAAAATCTACCTGAACATGCTCACACACTGGGCCAGGTTAGGAACGTACCTCTTCTTCTGACTTTCCATGATGCTTTTCCTTCTGATAGAGGAAGCTCCTGGGATGGTGTTTCCTGAGCATTGTTCAGCAAAGAAATGAAAAGTTGCCTTCCCTCCTTGGGGAATTCATTAAAACACCATATGGATGAGCCCCAGAAGCCCCACCCCCACCCCTCCACCCTCTTAGAAACAGCCCCGCAGGTGGCAGGTGGGTGGCAGGCTCACTTCTCTTGCCCACACAGTGTTGTCTTTGAAAACCAGGAGATTTTACAGGCTGGCCTGGATTTCTGGATTCTCTCTAGAAATTATAAGATGTAGTTTGGAGATCCAGCCACACCGGGCTCACGTCCTTACATGGTAGGGATTAGCTGCTGCTGAGCCGGTTCCTCATGGTAACGGGCTCATGTTGGATCCCCGGGACCAGTTCACTCCTCCCATTACCTGCCTGCCCTGGAAGACACCCAGTGTCACCCTGTACTCTGAGGATGGTTCTGTTTCAGCTGTCCTTCCTTACCCGATATTGGCCGACATTCTCAGAATATGGTGTTAGCAAAGGGGACAGACACAGCAGCTGCAGGGCGTAAGCCCACTCGCCTCTGCACCTGGCCTGTGGCGAGTTCCTTGCACACGGCAGACCCTACATTTAGTCCATCCAATGTGGCTGGAGCTCCAGGAGCCCATGGTCCAAGGGGGCAGGCAGGTCGGCCAGTCATGACATGCCACGTGGTTTGTCTCCAGCATGTCTCCTGGAGCCCACAACAGGGAAGAAGGGCAGCTTTGCCTGGACAGTTGGTGAGTCCCTCAAAAGAGAGACCAGCTGGGAGTGTCGCTGAGCACCAAGACACTTTTTACAGATAGAGAATGAGGTTGAGGGCTGTTTCTGGCAGAGAGAATGATACATTGGCAGACAGGTATTATTCCATCTGGGCATGATAAATTCTGTGACTATTAAGGAACCCCTGGGTGTGGCCAGCTCTGCACCAGGCACTGGTGATCTCAAAGTGCAGAGGATGCAGAGGATGGGCAGACAGACCTCAGTCCCTTGCTGATGTTCATATTGGGCACTGTTCTTGGGACCGGGGACACAGTGCTATGTGACAAGGCACCAGCCTCACACAGCTTATGTTTTAGCCAGGGAGAAAGGTGATATTGCAGCAAAAGAGAAAGAAGGACTTCAGGTGGTGCTAGTGCTGGAAGGAAATAAGAGTGGGATAGCCAGGCACGGGGTGGGGTACCTGTCTGGTGAGCTGCCTCTAGTGATGCTTGGCATCTAATGGTAGCTGCCTTTGGGTCACTGAGGATGCAGCCAGTGAGTGTAGATCTCCCCCAACCCTGGGCATGGCCACCTCACAGAGCAATAGCCCCATGGTTGCTGTGAAGCCTCCCTACCCCATTTTCCCCTGCCTGGCACCCCCAAACAGCCCTGTGTCTAGGCTGCTGCTTCCCTCCTTGGTTTAGCTGCATGTGTCTGGCTCCGGCCATAGTCCTGCTGGTTGTGTGCCCTGTCCTCTGCCTTCGAGCCATCCATGTAACCCATTCTGTTTCCATTCCAGAGCCCCAGCCAGAGCATGCCACTGGCCCTTCCACAAGCAGAAGCATGTTTCTGTGCCCTCATTGCCTCCAAGACTAATTCTGTCTGTATTTTCTTTCCTTCCCTTTGCCCCCACTTCATGTTTGATCACACACTGTTTTTTCGGCACCTGTTTTTAAACATACCATCCCCTTAAGGAATGCTATAAGAATAGGACCTCTGAAGGCGCTTTCTTGGAACAGCCTGAGTTTCCCCAACAGACTCACCACAGTAAGAAACTTTTCAGTATCCCCGAAGTAGCAGAAGAGGACACAGAACATGTGGAACTGCTATACAGACAGGGCTTGGGGTCCTCCTCCAGAGCCAGGGTGTGGCTGGCTGGACAGCCCAGACCCCGGCCCTGCCAGAGGAATGATGAGGCCCCACAGGGCTCCTGGTTCCCTGCAAGACACAGGGGATTGGAGGCCACCCCCCACACAGAGGATTACCTTCTTGAAGACAGAGGCTGCCGGTTCAGTCGATTTGCCACCAGAAGCCCGGACAGTGGCCTGGACTGTGGCAGTGAGGAAGAAGAACTACGGTTCAGTTTCAGGAACACCACGGCTAAGTGCAGCCCAGGCCCAGCACACTGTCCTTGCAGGAGGAGCCTTAGGCCTTTACTGGCCCGGCGGCGGACACTGACCCGGCAAAGCAGCATCGAAGAGGACTTTGGGGAGCAAGTGGACTCCAGTGACATCCTCAGGAGTAACAATGCTCAGCCCAGCTCACAGAGATCCATACCCGGGAAGTATGGCTGGGACGGGTCTACTGATCGTGAAGACTTTCGGGGTGTCTGGAAGAAAAGTGTAGCAATGCACGACTGCAGAGCATCCATCCAACATGCAAAACCACCTCCCAGAGGTGCAGAGGGTCCTTTGGTGTGTGAAGTACACTCCCTTTCTACATCCGCTTGCCAGACCAATCCATTTTCATTCCTCCCTCGGTTTTTCATTTTGTTTTTTGGTGTCCACCCCTGGGGAATCTCTCTGCTGGCTGTCTTTAGTTTCCTCGCATTTTTGATTTCTTAATCTCGTTGCTTCCCAAACTTCTGACCATGCCGGCAATCTCTTTACTTTGCTTTAGAGTAACGATTTCCCCCTACAGAATCAATAATGATTATTGTGGCTGCTTTAATTAAAGGACAACTGAATCTAAATTTTAATTAAGGGTTAGCTGAACTACAATTATCTAAAAGCTTGGAAACATATTTTTTTCCATATGATCCTTAGGGACTTATTTATTTATTTATTCATTTACTTACTTATTTATTTTAAAAGATGACCGGTGAGGGGATCTTATCCCTTGACTTGGTGTTGTCGGCACCACGCTCAGTGAGTGAGTGAACCGGCCATCCCTATATGGGATCTGAACCCGTGGCCTTGGTGTTATCAGCACCACACTCTCCCGAGTGAGCCATGGGCCGGCCCAGGGACTTATGACTACTAGGATTACTGAAGGGTTTTTTCTTCTTGTTTGGGGTTTTTTAAATTTTGGGGCCTTCACTCATAACTGAAAAAAATGGAGAACAATTATTGAAGAAATCCATTTTTGCATATTGTTTCCAAGATTTGTTGTCCCTCTTCCCCCGTTTTTTTCTGCATCCGCAGTTTCCAGAATGAATTTGCTATTATCAGCCTTTGTCTGTAGCCATAGATAGGTCCCCTGCCCATCCTATGGGTTTGCTAGTTGGTTTCTGAGTACAGGGATTCCCTCCAGGCTTCATTCATCTCTATATTGTGTCCTCTTTTCAGAACATTTGCTCCTGTCCCGCTGATCTTTTCATTGAAAACAGGTGAGCCACCCACAGGGCATCAGGCCCAGGTCTGAGCCCGTGCACTTTGTGATGGGTCCACAAGAGGGCGCTGATTGCACCCCAGGACACCCACCACATGTGGCCAGGCCTGTGCCCCACCCTGCAGCAAGCATGTCCACTCCTGGAACTCCCTTCCCATTGTTCACTCCTGTGTTCCCGAGAACGAGAACTTCCTCACTCACCTTACTAGTGAGCTGGAGATTTTGCTTTGATTCTCATTAACCAGTTCCAACCTTTTTAGTCTAAATTGGAGGTGAACCTACCCAGAAAGACCCATCCAAGTCCACCCTAGAACACTACCCGTGTCTTCAGATTAGGGCTTAGACATTGCCACAAGTTTCAAAGCTAGTAACTTACACAAAGTTCCGTCTTTGAGTTTTTGGAAACCTCATGTACAACCTCTACCCAAGTGGGACATTTGGAACTGCAGTGTTTCCCCACTTTTGTGACAGCTGTTGGGCAGGGGCATGGCATATGGAAACTAGGTGAGGGTTCAGTTGGCCAGAGGTGGCAAAGGTGTGATGAGTTGTATTTAAATCATTGTCACTTTGGCCCAAAATATTTGGCTTCAGCAGCAGTAGCAGCAAAAAAAAAAAAAAAAAAAAAAAAAAACAACTTCCAAGGGATTATGTCTGCCCCACTCCCACTGCATGTGAAAAAGAAACTCTGATGTAGAGCACGGGGTCCTGGGGTGAATGGCTTTTTTTCTCTTCCAGGTCATTCAGCTAACCTTTCAGTTAAAAGCTAAGTTTAGTTGCCTTTACAGCTTCTGCTTCCAACTTGAATTGATTTGGCTAACTTAATTCTTTTGTTCCCAAGGTTGGCAAAACTTATGACTTTGTTGTTTTGTCTTCAGATTTTAGGGAACCCAGTGTCTGCAGGACGGGCTGACAGGGTGGATCACATGGGTCGCAGGTTCCCCCATGACAGTACTGGTCCTCAGAGGTCCCGGCCGATGCTGGTCCCATCCATCGGTTAGTGGCCAGATTGATGCCTTTCTCTTTCTTCCAACCACAGAGCATGTGGCTGCTTGGTCCTGCATCTAATCATTTTTAAGAACATTTTAGGAATAGCATTTTCAGCTAAATACAGAAAACTCTCAGTTATTTAAGGCAAAAAGAAGGCAGGAACAGCCCAACAAGATACATAAAACCTATTTGTAAGTATTCTCAAAATATCATATTGGCTTTTTACGTCAATCTTCTGCCTACTGATTTCTTTTTTTCTTTTTATGGGAGAGCTTCACAGCAAGAGCACCAAAGGGCTGGTCACGTGTGTCTCTCTATGCCTCCCGCGTGATCTGAGATGCTTATGGCCAGAGTCTGAAGCAGAAGCAGGATGGTGGCGTGTTCCACACATATCTAAATGAGCCCAGGGTAACAGAGAGTTGTCTGTATACATAGAACACTTTGCAGCTGGAACTAGAAATCATGGAAAACACTGTGAGGCCTTAGTGTGTCCCCCAAAATGTTCCCCCCTCATCCATCTGGTCATCTTCCCTTTCATGAGTCATCACCTGTCATTCCATTTCCATTCTCTTAATTACTTTTTGGAATTCAGCCAGTCATGCTGAAAACTGTCATTTTAATCATTCTAATCAATACACTAAAAAGGGGGGAGGATGTGGCTGAAGGCCAGATGGTAATTCTCCTATTATTGGAATGAATCGTGGCAACAACAATTCCAAAAAGTAGTATGGACAAGATAATGGAACCTGGTAATCAGCACAAATTAACCAACCTTTGTGAAAACACACACACACACACACTCACACAAAACAAAGCAAGGAGAACTGTTATGTTAATTCAGTAGATGGAGAGAAGAACAGAATATCTTGATTTGGCTTTATGGAGCTCATTGAAAACAATTTACAGCTACTCTAGGCACCTGCGAAGCTGACTCTAATCATATTTAAATAGTTGAAGTTTAAAAGTCAGTCGGGAGCCCACCCCGTGGCTCACTTGGGAGAGTGCGGTGCTGGGAGCGCAGCGGTGCTCCCACCGTGGGTTTGGATCCTATATAGGGATGGCCGGTGCGCTCACTGGCTGAGCGTGGTGCGAACAACACCAAGCCAAGGGTTGCGATCCCCTTACTGGTCACACACACACACACACACACACACAAAGTCAATTGGTATTTCCCCTCAACTCAAAATGAAGAAAGACTTTATAAAGCAAAACAGAGCCTCTAAAATTATGTCCTTCCAGACTTTCTCTTCCTCACACAGTTCAAACAATAGGGAAAAAGTTTCCTTTTCCATCTTTACAGTTTTCAGAATGTTTTTATTTTTATCAGTAAAAAATTCATGGAATGTTAAAGATCTTTTAAAAACACAGTATTTTCAATTAACTGAAAACTAACAAAATATGCAGACTCAGAAAACATTTATTACAGATCAACTAGTAGGGTTATGTGTATGCTGAGTCTACGTGCCTCTTGATGTCCTCAGGCTAGTGTCCCATGTCTCAAATCTTCATTTAAGTTGTGTTAGTGTTCCTCTGTAACAATTTAAATAGATTCTACTGGCATTCAGATTACATGACCTGTTGGAAGCTTCCTGTCTGGAGATGGGGGCAAGGCCAGTCCTCCTGTTCAGTGCTGTCTGTTCTGCCTCTGCTGTTGAAGTTGGTTTCCAAATATTCAATTTGATTTTAACTTTAATGAGTGCAGATTACAGTCATTGCTCATTAAATGAACTGATGATGTTCAAGAAGTTAAAAAGTTAATGTGGTGGGCACTGAGAAAGGGTGTCTTTTGGAAGAGGTGTGATGGGTCTTCTATTCCGATCTGTTAGGATAGAGAACTGAGGACTGTACTGTGTCAAATCACCAATAGAGCAAGAGAGTGAAGGAAAAAACATCCATGCACCCCTAGTCTTGCCAGGGTGACTCTCATTGCAGTGTCTTAGACAACCCTTTGGTTGGATTTTTCTTCAGGTGGAAAATTCAAAAGGCTGCATATGTGTTTTAATTTTAATAAGACACTTGTTAAGTTGCTCAAAAAGAGGGTAATTCTATGTTAAAACCTTGACGAAGAAAAAAGCCTCTTAATGATGTAACTAGAAGAAATGTTCGAAAAATCCATGATTGATTTGCGTTAACTGTACTGACTTCTCACGGTGTAGAAATCCAAGAAACCACATAAAAAACATAATTAAAATCAAACATTTTATATACCCATACACATATGTACATACACATACCTTAAAACCTATTATATTTTCAGAAGAAAACAAAAGCGAATGTGTTTGTCACCTGCCAGGGAAGAGAATTAGGCAAATGACCCTAGGAAGTAAATGGTCAGTGACGTTTGAATAGACAGCATTTTCCTCTGGTTCTCATTTACTTAGTTCTATTTTTCTTGTGAAAATATTAACAATTAATATTTTAGAAATCTGCTGTATTTCAAAAGCATTAATTTTCTTCTTCAGAGGAAATTAAATCTGTAAACCATATGCTTTCTAAGCATGTTTTTAATAAGTAATAGATCCACAAATAAATAAAAATACTGTAGCTTTTAATATTCTCTGGGTTTCCAAAATTTTAAAAAAAATGTCCTTCATGATTTAAAAACCAAAAATTATATAGCCTCATACGTAATAAACTCTAAATCATATAATTAGCATAAGGGCCTCTCAACATGGATAGATGACTCCAAAGATATGTTTAATTGGTTTTGGTTTCTCCCTTTATAATTTCTGGTCCTTGCATTTACCTAGTAATTTGCCTGAGAGGTTAGCTTTCAAAAAATGAACTACCACATTCTAGAGGATTCTGTTCTTTCTCATCAGCCCTATAAATCTCCACTTTCTCCCATTCTCCTAGTTATTCTGGCGACTGAGCTGACAGTGACATAGTGCAACAGGTTTTATCCATGTCCAGAGAGGAAAAATTAAAAATTAATAACTACACCAATAGGTGTGTCTGTTGAGAACTCTTTTCCACTGGTTTCCATGCAAAAGAAAAAAAAATGAAAGATGTAAAATATGTTTAATAGATGATTCCCTTTTTCTCCATAGAAATTACAATGGACAGTAACAGTGAAGGTGGTCTGTCTCGGTCAGGTAGTGAGGGAAATATTCCACCTGTAGAAGACGGTGCTTATTCCCGCAGCATGGGTGGACTCGGGAGCCCTGGCCTGGCACACGGTATGCAGACTCTCCTTCCTCCTTCCTGACAAAGACCCACCTAACCCCCTGGGCCAGGACACTTCCCCAGCAGGGCAGGGGGGGCGTGCCCATTCCCTCCAGGTCAGACCAGCAGCTGGAGGTAAGTGCTTCCTGTAGTCTACCCTGCACCAAGAGGAACAGAGCTCCCCAGGTACTCACCCAGGCCCTGGCGAAGCCAGATTTCCACGGACACAGTCTACGGAAGCCACTGTTCTCACTCCCCATCAAGGTTGGATTCTCATAAAACATGGAATGCATCTGCTCTGAAAGAAAATACAATGGAGTCACATCACACTCACCGTTTTACTTATATACATCAATTACAGGTGCTTGACTCACCTGTACCTCCACTCACACCTCCCAAGAAACACACAGAAAAAGATAATGTAACAATGTGGCAATTCTGCTCCTCTGCATCTGAGACTGGCCTCTGAGGTCCTGGGTGGTCTCTATGCCTCAGTGCCTCCTGTGCTGTGCCACTTGTCATAGTCCATGTGAATTTGGACTTATAGACATAAAGGTACAAATTTTCATGTATCATAGTCCCTGAGCATAAGCCCATTACTGAGAAAATGTACTCCTCTGCAGACTACAGGAGTGGCTTCAAAGATTTCCAAGGGGATGTTGACCAGACCCAACTCTCTCCTTAGGCACAGACCTTAGCACCTGACTCCTTTTTATGTCCTGACTCCACAATCTTCTTGCCACAAAAACTCCCCTGGAGAAGCACTGAGAACCCACTGGACAAAAGCTGCCACCAAAAGTTCTCACTGACATTTCCACAGCTGACACTGTATGCATGAGGTCACATTCACAGTGGTGCAGGCTCCACAGCTATCCACAAGCATTCTCCTCATGCTGCCCTGGTGTTCTAGTCCTTCATCCGGAGCATGGGACATGGCCACACAACCGCCTGTGCTGAGACTCTCACAGTCATCATGGCTTAATGCTAGCTTCACACTACACTCAGTTTAGATAACATTGAAAACTAGAAAAAAAAATCAATCTTTTCATTGACTATCAATAAAATCCAAGCCAGTGTGCAGAAATTAATGAAGCCAGCTACTGAAAAGTTTTGTTCCCTAGCAGAAGTTAAGTTATTGAATTTTAGATCATCTAGGCATCCTAAAAAGATCCTGAATTTAAATAATGCAAACAAATTCATTGCATTTTAAAAACCAACCATTCCTGTAGCTGAAGTGCTTTTTATTTTTAAACTTTTTTTTTTTTCTTGTGGTGAAAGAAGCCCAAAGGCTTGGTTCTTTCACCACCTGTCTTCCCTGTCCTTTCTGCACTCCTGTGTTCTCTCGTCTCATCACTTGTGTTCCTTGTGCTGGTGACAAGTTTAGACTGGGCTGTTTTTCCCAACCCTATGCTCTCTGCTGCCGATTTGAGTTTTTCTCATTTGCTTCCCTGCGGAGGTTCCAAGATGTCATATGACCAGGATGATGTTATCTGTCAGTTGTCTCTGTCCCTCTTTTTCTGTCTCTTTTTATGCACACGCACATATACATATACATGCATATATATCTAATGATGTCTAGTGATATACATGCATATGCATGCATATGTATCAGGATGTCAAAAAGAATTGTTTTTAGAAGCTGGGTGGTAGGTGGACTTGAAACCCAGTTCTGTCAGGAAATCATTAATTCACTGTCATAAAGAATGCACTTTTAAATATTTATGATAAGTGAATAGCTTGGTCACCCATATCAAACTCTGACACACAAATACACTCTAAACATTGGATACACTTGTCTTTACAACTCACAGGACATGTGAGGGTGCCCAAGTTGCACCTCCAGGATGATCATGTCTTAACACTTGGCATGACCTGCCACTCCTGTATGGCCTGTCCTCTCTGGAGAAGTCTGAGACAAATCCATTTATGCCTCACTGTGTCCACACACAATGTGGCCAAGTTCAGCATGTGGCTGTTTTATAATAGTTATTTGCTTCTCCAATCCATCTCTGTTTTGACCTCCTGATCTATTTCTGCCTACATGTTAAACCAAAAATTAAAAACTAAAACCAAAAAACCCGCAAAATCCAAGGGGCCACAGCTATCCTCATTGCTTTCCAAAACCACATTTCATGTAAGAGCACATGTTCCTCAGTTAAACAGGGAAATCACCTGCATTCTGTCCTTTACTCCCACATGCTCCCAGATGAGTACACTGGGCAAGATCGCCTTTCTCCAGACTTCTATGAAGAGTCAGAAACTGACCCTGGGGCTGAAGAGCTCCCGGCTCGAATCTTTGTGGCTCTTTTTGACTACGACCCGCTCACCATGTCCCCGAATCCAGATGCTGCAGAAGAGGAGCTTCCCTTTAAAGAAGGCCAGATCATCAAGGTGGGGGATGGATAGGGGATGCATTAGTGTCCATGGTGTCTGTGGGAGGTAGTGGTAGGGACGGACCACAGGGAGTCAACTCAGAGAGGCAGCTGCTGACCTTCTCCAATATATGGAGGCCGGGGAAATACAGCCCCCGGGCGGCGGCAGGTAGGCCATTAGGGGCCACCAGAGGAAAGGGTGTGGTGCTGTGATAAGCCTAGCATAGGGGGGCGAGTCCTGCCTCTGCCCTTGAAATCTCTTTTCCAGTGTTTGCTTCACCTGTGAAAAGAGGGCGATGCCTTCACCTTGTCTGCCCAACAGGATGTGCACACATGCACAAAGTGTACACATACAAACACCTACATAATTCTGTAAACTGTAGATACTTCAGGTCCTATGTTGTTGGGAAAAATTCTACCGGCTCCAAATTTTAAAGGAAGACTTTTCAATGCCTAAAACCTAAACTGCAGGCAGACAGGCAGGCAGGAAAGAAGGAAAAAGAAAGAGAGGGAAGGAGGGAGGGAGGAAAGAGACAGGGAGGGAGGAAAAAGAGAGAGGAAGCACTCAACAGCCAGAGACTGGGGTCACTATACCTTAGTTCCTTAACACATCAAAATGGCAGGTTGTTTTCTATATTATGATCAATAGAGGAGAAGGAGGAGTCTTGTGAGTTTGAAGTAGGGTAAATGAGAAAAAGCGTGCTGCTCAGTAGCAGAGGAAAGGGAGCCTTGAGCCCTGTTTGCCAATTTCAGGAAGGGTCCCACCAACCAGCATTTGAAAGTGGCCAGAGTGCCTGTCATGTAGCACCATCTTGTGGAGGAGTGAGGACAGAAACACTGTTACGTGAAGTCTACATAGGTAGTCCTTCTGTGTAGAGGGGGTCTCATCACGCACACCTTTAACACGTGCGAATGCAAACACGTGCACTCATCCAAAGCAGGCATCCCACTTGATGGGAGGCTGAGTCATTCAAGCCCCAGAGGGAAAACCTTCTCTTGAGTCAGAGTCATAGAGCGAGGGTTCTTGCACACGTCTGCAGCATACAAGTGCACAGTTTATGTAGGGACTTATGTATTTTTAAAGTATATTTTAGGCGTATTTTTGACTATGTATGAGTCTACCATAAGTAGGACTAATATACTTCCGGACCAGCTTTGATTCTTCCCTCATGGCTCTAGGTTTACGGTGATAAAGATGCTGATGGCTTCTACCGCGGGGAAACCTGTGCTCGGCTTGGCCTTATTCCTTGTAACATGGTCTCTGAAATCCAAGCAGATGATGATGAGATGATGGACCAGCTTCTTAGACAAGGCTTTCTCCCACTGAATACACCTGTGGAGAAAATAGGTAAGAGGAGACCCATGCACACCTTTGCCCATGCATTTGATAGCACAAAACACCTACAGCTCAGAGTATAAGGCAGTAATAAGGAAACTCTAATCTGCATTACTTAAATGTTTCAAAATCATGTGAAAATTAACCACTGATTTTTCTTGAGCAAAACTTACTCTGCAAACCAGGGTTGTCATAGTCCTGCATGCTTTAGGGATACATATGTACCTAAATATTTGTGAAAACAGATTATCTTCTCATGGAAGATGCAGTATAGCCTTTCTTGCTGAAACTCTATCCATCTGGAAAACAAATGATTAACTGCTTTTTTTTTTTTTTGTAAAAAAAAAATATGCTTTGAACATTAGCCTATCTATAATAAATTTCAAAAGGTGTTGGTGTAGTGCTATGCCTTTCATTCTTCAGGTGAATTTTGCTTATCTAAAAGGCACAAAAGTTCTTTGCTCTTTAATTTGGATAGACACTACACCAACTATCTTGGATCAGTCTGCAAGCACCAGTGGGAAAACAGCTAAACTATTTTCAGTGAGTTTTAAGCAATATTACATTTCTGATCTTTAATTTTTTCCCATGTACATGGAAAATCTACTCATTAAAAAGGCTTTTACTTTTTCGAAATAGCTGTAGAAAGATTGGTTTTATATCATTCGTATAAAGATTTAAAACTTCAAAATATTAGATTAACTTTTAAATACTTTTAAGACTTCAAAGACAAAATTCAACCAATCAAATAATATACATAATTTTAAGCATCATCACAAAATTTTTAAAAAAGTTTCAACCTCTTTTGGCATTAATAAACTCACTGTTTCAAGATAAAATCCACATCTAATAGTCAAGGTTTAGTATGAATATTTCGCCCACATTAAATCCATAAGGTGAAGATTTCTGAGCCCCTTTGTACCACCTACTCCCTTTTATTGTTAAGATTTCCTTTCCTGAAGTCAACTCTGACTGTTTCTAAGAGAGAACAGGCTCTGTATACCACAGACCCAAAAAGTTCAAAATACTTTCTATTAAATAACAGTAACTTGATTTATGTCATCAATTAGATTAAATATCTTTTTATTGTTTTCTGTTTTTCTAAATGTGGCTAGTCAAGGGGACCAGCCTAGGAATCCACTTGCCCCTCTATTACCAGAATATACTACCCTCAATGGTGAAAGGTTGAATGCTATCTTCCTAAGATGGGTGAAAGGCAAGGATGCCACCATAACTATTCTTTTTCATCATTGTACTGCAGGTCATAACCAGCACAATATGGCAAGGAAAGGAATAAACATTATACCGGCTAGAATGAAAGGAATAAAGCCTTTTCTATTCACAAATGACATGAAAATCCACTTAGAAAATCTCAAAAAATCTATAAAAAAAAAATCTCCTACTACTTGTAACAAGTGAGTTTAGCAAGGTCAATGGATACAAGGTCAATATACAAAAATTGACTGTATTTCCATATTTTAGCAATGAAAAATTTGAAATTGAAATCTTAAAAAGTAGTAGAATTCACAATAAAAACAAAAACATGACATTAAACATGATACATAAAAGAAAAAACATCAATGTTAGACTTTATCAAAATTAAATACTGTGCTTAGAAAGATACCATTAAGAGAATGAAAAGAGAAATCTCAGGCTGGCAGAAAATACTTGCAAGTAACCTATCTGAAAAATGATATGTATTTTGGATACACAAAGAACTTTCAAAATTCAACAATGAAAAACAAATAAAAATGTGAACAAAAGATTTGAAGAGACATTTACCAAAGAAGAGATTTGGATAGCAAAAATATGAAAAGATGCCTGTCATTAGTGAAATACAAATTAAAACCACAATGAGAAACCAATACACACTCACTAGAACAGGTGAAATTAAAGACTGGCCATACCAAGTATGGGCAGGAAAGTATAACACTGGATATCTCATGTGCTGCTGGTAGGAGTGTAAAATGGTTCAACCATTTTGCAAAACAGTTTGTCTATTTCTTGTTAAGTTAAACATAAACTTACAGTACAACCCAACAATTCCACTACGATGCATTTACCCAAGAGAAATGGAAACTTATGTTTACACAAAAAACTGTACATTAATGTTTATAGTGGCTTGACTATCATCAAAAGCTGGAAACAACTCAAGGTCCTTTCAGCGGGTGATTGGATCAAATAACTGGTACATCCATACTATGGGACACTACCCAACAATATAAATAGAACTACTGATACATGGAATAACCTGGATGAATCTCAGATGCATTATCCAAATGAAAGAAGCCAGTCTCAAAAGCTACATTCTGTATGATTCCATTTAAGTGATATTCTGGAAAGAGCAAGAGTATTGGGACACAAAATAGACCAGTGGTTACCTGGGGCTACATGACTGAACTTTTGGGGGTGACTGATCTGTTCTATATCTTGATTTTGGGGGTGGTTATAGGGCTATATATGTTTATCACAACTTATAGAACTCTGGAGAGTGACTTTTATGTATGTAAGTTTTAGCTCATTAAAAAATACATATATGTTGTTTTGCCACCCTCCGAAATTCACACTTGGAACATTCCATGTAACATTAACAATGCTTAGAAGCATTGTATGTAACCTCTGGAATACAATGAAAGAATATTTTGCTTTCTTTCAAGGAAAGATACTTTTGTAGGTCCTACAAGGATGTGCTTGCTTACTCTAAACTAAAGCAGGGTTTTTTTTGTTTTTTTTTTGTCTTTTGTCTTTTTTCCGTGTCCGGCAATGGATCGCAACCCTCAGTGTTGCCCCCGTACCGGACCGGGGACCGGCAACGGGATTGCAACCCTCGGTGTTGCTCCCACGCCTCGCTCAGCCAGTGAGCGGGAACCGGTCTGCATGTGGGATCCGAACCCTCGGGTGGGAGCGCCGCCGCGCTTCCCAAGCGGCGCACTATCCAGTGCGCCACCGGGCGGGCCCTAAAGCAGGGTTTTTTAAACCAGGACCCAATGGTAGAATGACTTCTAAAACTTTGCACACACACACAACTGGATCCTACACCTGTTGAAAACCACTGAAAAGCCACATAACTGTAGTTGTCTTTAAAACATTTGCCTTTGTTTTCATTTGCATGTTTTGAATCTCCAAAATCAACTGTAAGCCCAAAATGGCTGTGTTTGGAAGACACACATAAATGTCAACTTTCTCCAGAAGGAATGTCTTTCACAACCCCAGCAATAGCAATTTGACAGGGAGTTCCATGATGTGGGCTAAATACCATGGTTCTATGTTGACCTTCTAATACCCACTAAATATCTCATGTTTTCAGAGAGTTTTCACATATGTTATCTGTGTGAGGCTCTCACATTTGACATGGTGTAGAGGAATCCCTCTGTGCACCCTGTGCATCTGAGTATGCTGGGAGAGTGCCCAGGTTGATGTCTACGGCAGAGACAGAGCCAGGCAACAAGAGGGAACTCTAAGTGGGTTGTCCAAAAGTGGCATCTTTTCTGTTAAAGATTTTTTCTGTTCTGTTAAAACCACAATGAAAGGACATTTGGGGAAGCAGTGTGAAAGAAGCCCTTTCAATGGGTAGAGAAAGTATCCCTTTTCAGATTCTTGCTCTCCTGATGAGAGACCCTTAGCTTTGCCTCTGCTCTGAGGGAAAATAACTTGATTTTCTTGCATCATTATAGTTACAGGGACAAATATTTTTGAAACTGTGTTGGTGAGACTTCTCCAGAGCAATAGTCAAAACTTTCAATTTGCCTGCTTGGCTTGTCCAAGCCACAGTCATCCTGTGCTGGCCAAAAATTTAGATCACTTTTTGAGAGAATCCCCTACTTCATGAGATTCTCCATGGTTTAATGGACACAGTGGAGGAAGGAAAATGCTCGTTACTGTCAAGGGGAAAAGCCATACTGGAGCAAAAATGTGAGAACATGGAATCCAGGGCAACTGACCTGAAGTCAGGAACAGTTGGTCATGATCGTGACCATGCGCATGTGGCCCCTTAGATGGTGGTAGGTCTGACACTTGAAGGAGGAAAACTGCTAATTTTGAAATAACTTTATCATGGCTTTCTTTTTCCCTTGTTATTTAAATAGAGAGAAGCAGAAGAAGTGGCAGGCATCACTCAATGTTGACGCGAAGAATGGTGGCTCTATATGATTATGACCCAAGAGAAAGCTCCCCTAATGTCGATGTTGAGGTACCAGTCAGATTTATTTCCTTTCTGACATTAAACCATACCCTAATCATGAAACCTCACTTAAACCACATGCCATTAACTTTCTCTTCCCTTCTCAGTGAATCACCCATGGGAAGGGCTACTAAGCAACTGAATGGACAATATAGAGACGGGGAAGCAGAAGAGGAGCAATGATGTTCTCAGGGGCACAACTAACTACTGACAGCTCCTTGTCCCTGTAGCCCAGATTTCTCTGTACCATGACTAATAGAGCAATTTATGATAAACAGCCATTGGTGATGGCACAATAGGGCCATCTTTAGGAGAGAAATAAAAGACCATCACTGTGGTCAATGAACAAAAACAAAGTAATAAGGCTCCCAAACACACGAAAAGGAGAAAGGAAAGGACTGATGTCCTAGGCACATGCAGCCTGGTGCAGCATGGTATTTCTGGCATTATGAAGACTGAAGATGATCTGCCCTAAGACATGGAAGATGAGGTCCTCACTCTTTGGAGGGAGCCACCTGTGCAGATGGCCTAATATATCTGAATCTTTTTGACTCAGTAGTTCTGCCATCTCTGACAAGCCACCAGTGTATGAGCAACTTTATTCCATCGTCATGCTTAGAAATTAAAAAAAAAATTTTTGAATCCTCTACTAGATTTGTTTCCATGTTTGCTAGGTAACTACGCACTGAAATGTGCAGGGATAAGTGGTCTCCCAGGACAGAGACTCTTGTTGAACAGTGGGCCCCTGTCTCTAGGCTGGTGCCTAACATGTAATAGACACTCAATAAACAGCCATTTAATTAATAATTTAGTAGGTTTTTATACTCAGTGAAAGGATATTTATGTAGTGGTCCTTACACTGCAGAGAACATTTCCGTAATGTTCCAGGTTTTTACACTTAACTATTTGCCTAGTTTTAAAGATGTATTACCAGTAGAAAATGGTAATAATCTTGAATTTTGGCCAAGAATCAAAGCATGGCTGAATTTTTTTTTAGGTTGACATTATCTTGAATTGTACTTACTTTCTAGAAGGCTATGGACAGAGCAATTCATTAGCTTTGTACCTTTATTCTTTAATTGATTGGCAGAGTAGGTTAATGCTAAAATTTCTCAAAATAGTAAGACAAATCATGAATAACTTATTTTTTAAAACAACTACATCATACAGGAAAATACTATTAACTTTATGTTCTATCTCTACAGGCTGAACTTACATTTTGCACAGGAGATATTATTACTGTTTTTGGTGAAATTGATGAAGACGGATTTTATTATGTAAGTTTTTGAAGCATCAAGAATTGCCATTTAATTCGTTTATTCATTTTGGTTTTTTTTTTTTTGCTTGTCTGTTCTTTCTTTTAAAATTATGTATGAATTTTATGTGTTTTTATGGTTTGCTAAAAAGTTTGCCTAATTTGCTTGTCTCTCTTCACTGAGTTACATATAATGTAAAATAATATAGAAAGCTGGTACTATGATCTTATTGTTTCTTCTTTACTAACAAGGGTATTTTTAATGTATACAAACTGTAAACAAAATAAATCCATTCACTTTCTTGCATCTAAAAATTACTTCCATCCAAACATTTATAAAACAACTTAAAATTTCAGATTATTTATTTCACAGGTAATACATTTTCTTATAGGAAAAGTAAGAAATACAAATTAGAAAAATAGATAAATAAAACCCCACAGATTTTAGAACTTCTCCCTTACCTTCCACCTAGAGCCAATCAATGCTTTCATTGCAGGCTACCCCACGTACCAACCACCTTCCACCTAGAGCCAATCAATGCTTTCATTGCAGGCTACCCCACGTACCAACCCCCTTCCTTTTCCGTTCCTGTGGAGTATATCTTTAATATTAACTGGGGAAGAGAAGGGAAGAAATGCTGGTGGGGTCATCTTAGTTTCTGCAGCTGGGGTGTCTTTTGTGAGTGGCTGCCCCTCTCTGCCTGGTTTCTGATTATTAAGAGCACAGTACTTAGTGAGGATATTCAAACTTGGTCACATATATTGCAAATATTTCAAGAGCATCCTCTACTTTCTAACTTTTCATTTTTTTGAGTGTGTTTGGTTCTTTATTTTTGTTTTACTAAGCAAATGTTTTAAATTTGTATGTGGTCAAATTTTTCTGCCCTTGGAGGTCATGATTAAAAAGTTCTTCAAGGTGATATAAATAATCTCTTTGTTTCATAAATTTTCTAGTTATACTTTTTCATATGTTAATCTCCTGTATCTAACTTTATTTTTTCTAATTAGGAGAACTAGTGTATCAACATCATTTATTAAATAATCTGTCCTTTCTTTAGTTGTAAAAAATATAATTCTGATCATATATACTAGATTCATATTTATACTTATGGACTTTAATACAACTCTATGCTATTTCAATTACTGCACTTTTAAAATGCCTTTTAATATTTGGGAGGAATCATTTTGTAAAGAGCCCCTCCCCAACAACAAACCTGCTGTGGATAGAATATTCCCCCAAAACTCATCAAAGCTTGATCCCCATTGCAATGGTTTTGAGAGGGTGGAAAATCAGATTATGGCAGTGTTCAAAGGTGGGGCCTTTAAGAGGTGATTGGATCATGATGACTATGCTCTACTAAATGGATTAATCCATTTATGGAGTAATGGGTTAATGAGTTAGTGGGTTGTCACAGGAATGGCCTTGTGGCTTTATAAGGAGAACAAGTAAGCACGTTAAAGAGCTCTTGCCATTCTCAACATCTGATACCCTGTACTGCCATGGGACTCTGTACAGAGCCCCCACCAAGAAGGCCCTCACCAGATATGTTCCCTGGACATTGGATTTCTCAGCCTCCAAAACTGTAAGAAATAAATTTCATTTTCTTTATAAATTAATCAATTTCAAGTATTCTGTTTAGAGGTGCATTTAGTTTTCAAATTTAACTGGGAGGAAATTGATATCTTATAATATTGTCTTTTGATTCTGACACATGGCATGTGTCTCCTTCTTAAACGTTTTTTCTTTCATCTGTCAGAAAAGATTCACAGATTTATTCTTACACATCCTTTATATCTTAAGTTCATTCTTAGGAATTTTATAGATCTTATTGTTACTGTGAACAGTTTCCCCCCCAGTATACATTATACTGGTTATTTAGAAAACATGTTGAAAATATGTGTGTCCTCCACAAATCATTTTTCTGAATGCATTTATATCTGTTATCAATTGATTTTTCAAATTTCCCAAATCATGATTGTCTTCACCAATATTTACAATTGTCATCTCTCTTTATTGTCTTACTGCATCATTTAGAACAATTAATAGAAATGGTTGAATATGTGACCTATGTATTTTAGTAGGAATACTACCAATGTTCTGCACTGTTATTTATAGGTTAGACTATAAACAGAGAAAGATGTTCTTTATAATGTTAAGTATCCTGTTTTAATTTGCTAAGCTTATTTTTTACCAGTAAATTACTGGCCATAGTATATAATTATTTTTAAAGCACCAGATTTGATTTGCTAACATTTAGAAGTTATATTTATATTTCTGAAATGATGTTGGTCTGTATTTTTGGAGTATCTTTGTTGTAGCTTTTGGTATCAGGATTATGCTAGAATTACCAAATGAAATAAGAAGCTTCCAATCTTTTTCTATGCTCTGAAACAGACTAGACAAAATAGGAACTACTATTATTTGGTTATTAGAAACTGCCTAAATATCTTTTTAGGATGTAGCTGAACAAAAGTTCGCATTTACTTAAATCGTTATCTTCTTGAGTCAATTTTTAGAAATTTATGTGTATGTTTAGGAAAATATGCCTTTCATTTAGATTTTCAAATGCATAAACAAAATTGGACATAATATTATGTTGGAATTTAAAAATATTTTTCTAACTTATCTACATATTCCTAAGTTATGTTTTATTTTCTTTGTTTTCTTGAATAGTCTTTCCTAAATTTTTACATTATAGTGGGAATCAGATCTAAATTAATATTAAATGTATGCTTCTTTTATTTTTCTCTCCCCCAAATAATTTTAGTGTTATTTTGTTGGTCAAGTTCACTGAGTAGATTGCCCAGTCTATTTGCTTTTATTATTTCTTACTTGATAAACAAGAATAGGGGACTCCTAATTTGACACCAAAAATCACAGATTCCTTTGAACTCTGTTTTCTAACATGTGCAATCTTAAATGTCTCAAGATACCTAATTTTCAAATATATTTTATAGGTTCTAATATTGTAATATCTTCCTAGTTTCTTCTCAGTTCCACCATATTTCATAATAAATAGAACAAGTATAAGCAAGGAGCAGTGAGGGACCCCTGCAGTCCTATCTGGGCCTTTTCCTCCTTTTGTTATTCCATAATCTACAACATCCCAACAAAGTCATGGTCTCCAATCATTCACAATTTCCAGTACCCTATAGTGTAAAACCTCATGCTGCTCTTGCACAACACAACACGTCTACATCAAAAATCGTGAAATTTTTTTTTTTTTTTTTTTGGTGGCTGGCCAGTTCAAGTGGATCTGAACCCCATGACCTTGGTGCTATAAGGCTGAGCTCTAACCAACTGAGCTAACTGACCATCCCTTAAGTCGTATACCTTCATATGTCAAGAGGAAATCAGCTCCATTTCAAGAGTCAGCAAGTTGCATTCTAAAGTACGAGAACTATACAAATATGATTGGGCCTCATGATGATGGGGGCACAAAGAAAAAGGGGAGGGAATGGATTTTTATGTTTTCTGCCTTTCAGCCTAATTCCAAATTTGTTCAAACATTAGGTCTCCAGGTGGTTAACATTTGGCCTCAAATACAGAAGCGGAAGGGAGGGAATGAGGCTTGAGAGAGAAGCAGAGTTCAGATCATGAAGAGCCTGTGAATAGAGAAGGGGCAAGACTGAGTTTTCTCTTAGAGAAAGTTATTCTGTAAAGGGTTTTGACAGTGGAATTTTGAAGGGAGGTGGGAATGTGTCCAGGAGGCCGTGTAACAAGCTGGATGGTCCAGGTAGAAAGCATGGCCTGAACTAAGACGGTGCCAGAGGAAGGCAGACAAAAGGCAGACTCAAGATGATCTTATCCAGAGCTGGGATTGTTAGTTGGGGTGAAAGAGCATGTCATCCAGCAGGAGCCCCTGATTCTGATGTAGGTGGCAGGTGCCTTTGGGAACACAGGGATAGGAGCACAGTTGAATGAAAAATGTAATTTAGAAATGACTGAGCTTGAGGGGTGTGAATAGGACATCTGGGCCTCTCCAAAGGGAATGGGATTTGTGCCAAAGCAGTAGTGACTAGACTTTGAGAAGGTTGTAATATACACATCCAATGCACTGGCAGTGGCAAAGGCTATTGCAGAAGGCTGAAGTTGTACCGTGTGCATTTCTGATGTGTGCATTAATAGAACATGTGTGTTAGATCCGAAAGAACAAGAGAAAATAATGAATAGTGAAGCAGTTACATCCACGTTCCATCAGTGGGCCGGAGCTGATCTCGGCCTGGAAGCCTGGATCTGCAGAACTCTCTATGGTCTCAGTGCACACAGACCTTTTGTGGTGTGAACATGACAGCGATGGGGATTTGTGCATAAGGCTGTGCATTTTCATAGAATGCAGCCCAAACACAAGCCAACTATTCCATATGTTGCTCACCCAAAGAAACAACCTTTTCTCATGCTTCAGGCAAAATCTGGCTGTCTTGGACCTATTGAGAGGGGACTGGACTGGATATAAATTTGAGTTTCTTCATGTATAGATGCTATTTAAAATCCTTGATGTGAAGAAATCATCACGGGGCACATGCACAATAAAAAGCATAGATGGCTTATTAAAAGTCTCTAAAACACCAGCAAGAAAAGTAAGCTGGTGAGCCTGAGAGAGGAGGATTAGGGCAGTCATAGATAAATAGGAGGGTGGAATCTTCAACGTCAAAGCAGAAGAGTGGGGTGGGGCAGCATGTTGTACTGGGCAGGGGTTACTACACAAGAAGATGCAGGAGCTACATGGGGCTGCCCCTTTTTTTCTTTTCAATTAGTTTATTTTAATTATGGTAAAATACCCATAAAATTTACCAGCTTAATTATTTTTAAGTGTATTTAAGTTCAGTGTATTAAGTACATTCATATTGTTGTGCAACCATCTCCACCATCCCTCTCCAGAGCTCATCTTGCAAAACTGAAACTCTCTCCCCATTAAACACTAACTCCCTACCCCCTCAGTCCCACCCCAGAGCCCTGGCTACCATCATTGTACTTTGTCTCTATGAATTTGACTACTCTAAGTACTCATATAAGTAGAATCACACAGTATTTGTTCTTTTGTGATTGACTTACTTCACTTACCATAATGTCCTCAGGGCTCATACATGTTGTAGTATCTATCAGAATGTTTTGTTTTCCTTTCGAAGGCTGAATAATATTCCACTCTATGTATATATCACTTTTTGTTTAGTCATTCACCTACTAATGGGCATGGGTTTCTTCTATCTCTTATTACAAATAATGCAGATATGAACATGAGTGTACAAATATCTCTTTGAGAGCCTATTTTCAATTCTTTTGGGCATATAACCAGAAGTGGAATTGCTGGATTATATGGTAATTCTATTTTTAATTTTTTGATGAACTGCCATACTGTTTTCCATAGCACAAGTATTCCAATTTCTCCACATCTTCATTAGGACTTATTTTTCTTTTGTTTTGTTTTGATATTAGCCATCCTCATAACATGAGGTGGTATCTTGTGGTTTTAATTTACATTTCCCCCAATGATTGGTGATGTTGAGCATCTTTTCATGTGTATTGGCCATTTGAGTCTTTTTTTTTTTTTTTTTTGGAGAAATGTCTATTTTTTGTTTTGTTGTTGTTGAATTGTAGAAGTTCTTTATAAATTCTGGATATTAACCCCTTAACAGATACATGATTTGCAAATATTTCATCTCATTCTCTAGGTTGCCTGATCACTGTTTACTGTTATGTCTCTTGATGTACAGAAGTTTTTAATTCTGATGTAGTAAGCTGACTATATTATCATTTCCTAGACCTTTTAAATGGAGAAGCAGAAGCCCAAGCTGTCCAGGGCCAGCCAATTTTGAACTTATTGGGCACCTGTGAGGCAGTTTAGCATTGGGGGGCTTGGAGTAGAAGTAACATGAGGCTTGCGAACCACTCTGTGCAGATGTTCAGTGGGCAGTTGGACTCATGGATCTTGACCTAATCTATGCATGTGCATAGATATGTAAATGATAAAGTTTTGGGAGGATACATACCAACCCGAAGCAGTAATCTCTGGACGGCATCAACAGACACTTTCATTTTCCCCGAATTGTTTGAATTTTTACAATGAAAATGTATTCATGTGTAAGAGGGAGGACAAACATAAGGTTAACACATCAATAGCACTTTAGGATCACCTGTTCTCCATTCCTGAAGCCATATGCAGTCAGCTGGGTTGGTGCCCTGAGCACTGTTATTTTTAAAAGTCCTCTAGCAACTCTGAGATCAGCTAGGCGTAAAACCACTAAATTAGATGTACCAAGGAGTGGTTTCTACATGAGCGTGATCCTAAGAGGCCTCTTGGCCAAAATAGATTCCTCAGTTCCTCTCTGGACAGGCCAAATTAAGACCTCCGAGGAGGTGCTGGAAACCCATACTTTCAGCATGTCGCTGAGGATATTTTTATGATAAGGATAGTTTGGAATCACTAGAATCCCTTCAAGTCCTACTACCTTTGAACCAGAATAAATTTACCATATAGCTGTATTTCTTTAGCTAAAGCCAAGAAGTGGGATTCTGGAAAAATAAATAATTCTTCTGATTCACCCCTGTGTTTTTAGGGGGAGCTGAATGGGCAAAAAGGCCTTGTACCTTCAAATTTCCTGGAAGAAGTGCCTGACGATGTGGAAGTCTATCTTTCTGATGCTCCATCCCACTACTCCCAAGACACGCCAATGCGTTCGAAGGCAAAAAGGGTAAGCAATCCTATTTCACCTTTTAAATTTCTGCCCCATTCTGCCATATGTGATCTAATATAACTTTTGCGTTGATATTTTTATATCTTGGGCCGAAAAGTATATATACCCTGAATTTTTTCTCTGCCCTTCCATGGGGTTGTGCCTAACAATTCCTAATTCTTTATCTAAAGTCTATTTGTTTCACAAAATATGACCCTTTCAATTCTAATCAATCTGCCTTTACTCACAAAGGAATTCCCATCTTACATTATAGATACACATTTCAGTTTAAGAGTGAAAAGGGGATGGCTCATCTTCAGATTCAGTGGGCAATAATGGCTATTTGCCCTCTGTCAGGATTTTAGCCCTCTTAACAAAGACCAAAGAGCTTCTCAAGCATATTTAACTATTAGATTACATTCATGTTTAGTGTCTCATTTTTATTTTATTTCATCACCGCGAGTTTTTATATATTATATTTTTATATATATATTTTTATTTCTTTGCTCATCTGCTTGGAAACAGAAGAAGAGTGTTCATTTCACACCTTAATCAGGCAATGTAGCCTTCACGTAAGTGAGCAACTGAAGATACCTATAAAGATACCAACTTAAGCTACCTTAAATGGACCAATGTGGTAGACTTAAGGCTTCACTGTGGGATTAAATCAAAAAAAGAAAAAAGAAATATGTCTCAAAAAATCATTGGACCTAAAGTATTAGGATATTACTTGGACTCAGTTGTAAAGCAACTGAATTTGTAGTGAAACAAATCATCTTTAATAATCATTTCCTACTCTTTACACTAAGAATATTTGAAAGGCCAACATTGGGAACATATTTCTTAACAAGCTAACTGTTTGTTTACACAGAGAGTGTTCCAATGTCTACTCATAATTAAAGCTGCATATTGCATTGTTAGCCACTCTTGGAAAAAGCACAACCTAACAAATATGTTTACTATGAAAAGTTTCACTTAAAAAAAAAACCCAAAAAACCACAATTCAAGGTCAAACAGATGAGTAGTGAACAAAGATGATCTAGTGTTGGTTCTAAATACTCCAAAAGCTGGCTTGAACTATGAGAACATATTACCTTAAGTAAACATACCTCTACCTTAGGAGAGAGCTTATGCTTCTCCTCAAAGCACAAATGTTCTGAACATATGAAAGTTGGCGAAAGACTGATTTGTTGGTATACCAATGCAATACTAAGTTTTATGAAACATGCAGCTCAAATGATTGCATTAGATGGAATAGATGGTATCTTCAGGTGTACTTTGGGATGCTTTACTAGGTGTTTTCCATTAGAATTAGACCTTGATTTTAAATCCAAGCAAGCTTGAAGCCCCTTGGCTTATATCATTTGCCTGCTGAATAATGAACACTCACCTTAGCAAGAGTTTTGCTCTGGAGGGGTAAGGGAACTAGAGGAATGATGATATTATATAATCTCAGACATGTTTTCAACTGTAAAAATAAGTGAGGCAAAATCTACATGCAACATATTAGAGTAAAATTCTACTCCTTTGAAGTACTGTTGCTTAAGTACTTAAAGTATATTGAAATACTACCACGTGCTATATATTGAGTAAAATTCACGTTCAATTATTTGGAAATAATGAAAGCATACAATAAGGGCCTTTAAGCTTTCTTTGATTGTAATTAAGGTTCATTTTAGTTTTTTTTTCTTTCAACCAGTGTGCCATCTTCAATCTTTCTATTGTATATTAACTAACCCAGGAATGCACTCAACAATATCAGGATTTTATTTAACCAAGTAGTTTTCAAGTACAACAAATTCCCTTTAAGAATTTTTGCTTTTAAGATTACTCATGGGTACTCGGCCAACTTTAGAATCAACCTAATTTAAAACACCCCACCCTGGTTTTAAATTTTAATTTATAAATTATTACCTAGCTTTGTTTTGCCAAAGCAATGGCCACCCCCTCCCCCAAGACAAAGAAACTGAAAAATCAAACATTAATGGCTAGACCCTCTCTCTCAGACATGTTTTGGGAGAGAATGTTTGCTTCTCATGGCATACTTTAAAAATTGAAAGAAGAAATGAACCACCCCTTTACCTTTCCTGGTGGGAAACGGGACAGTACGTACGATGTTACCAAATGAATTGATGTTGTTGGCGCTCACACACTCAATAAACTGTAACAATGTACCTACTAGGTTCCTCCTGAGGGTTCAGGTACAACAAGGAGAGCTCCATCCCCCACAGTCCATCTCCATTCGGGGTCACCTACGTCATCTATGGGTTCTGGTAGTCCTGGGAGAGGCAGGGAAATGTCCTCGAAAAAGAAAAAGGGGCTGCTTTCCAAAGGCAAGAAACTGCTGAAAAAGCTGGGTGCAGTGAAATGATTCATGTGCTTCTGGACAACTTCCAAATCTATGTAATTTTCTTTAATTCCAAACTAGGGCTTTCATGATTCAAGTACTTCCTAAAAAACCAATCTTCTCCCCTGACACCAGTAGAGAAATGCACTTTTGCACTACCATCCACTTTAAACCAACTGCAAGAACAAAGAGGGCTGTTGCTCTCTCTCAGTCACCGTTGCCAATCTGCTCTCACTGTCCAAGGTCTGACTCGGGAGGTGGAGGGGTGTCTTATTAACAAATGGGGCGGGTGAAGAGCTATTTGTAGCTCACTCCCTACCTGTAATTCCAGTCTTTGTGTACTGTCATCTGCCCTTGAAAGAATGATTTTTAACCTTTTTCCCTTTTCAAAAATGCTTGCCTCATAATGCATAACTTTCACTTTAACTCTGGTCTTGAAATTCCTAGTTTAATTCGCCTTGATGTTCTGCCTTATAAATGCACAATGATTTGTACTGTCTAATAAAAAATACAGTGTATACTTTGTATGTGTTGTGCATTCAGTGGTCTTCATCCTCACTGACACAGTGGTCTGAAATCAAGTCGTACAGGCTGTGCATTTTAAGATACCGGTTTTAGTCTTTCAAAGCAAGCCACGCAACACACAGAAAATGTTTACTTATTCAATCATTCAAAAAAGAGAAAGTAACTTTGTTTGGTAAAGTACCAGTACTCCAACCTGCCAGAAAGTTGATAATCTTCATTGCTTTTAGTGTTACATTTTGTGCCATATGGATTTCTGTTACTTCATTATTTGTCAAAACGCCATACCCAATTGTGCATCAATGAACAGCACACACGTAATCCACATAATGCATAAGCCACACCAAAAACATGCTAAAAACATCATAAATTTAAATCTGTTCAAAATGATTCTATGCCAATCTTCATCACAGGCATTTGAATAAGACTTAAGAAAGTTGCTGGCAGAGGTGTTTGATGGTTACTATTTTGTAATTCTTGACCACTTGTAAATTGTTTTTACTCTTTATACATACTTTTCAGATTGCCTTTCTTTTGTAATTTATGGAAGGTTTATAAATGAATGACAAAGCTTTCCCCATTGTGTCTTCAAAAATTATATTGTAAATTGTAATATAATAGTATGTGATAGATTTATTAAAAGGAAATTAATCGATGTGTGGTTAAGTACTGTGTGGGAGTGTGCATGTGTACAGTTCGTGTAAAATATTTTCTAGAAATAAAATGTTATTTTATACAATGCCGTTTACTCTGTATCTTTGTTTTAAACACTTTTTATCATAGCAAGCTAACTGAATTCCATTCTCTTAGGTGTAGGTGTTCACGAAAAACTCTATAACCTTACCTTTTCTGGGACTTTTTCTTTTCAAAAATAATTTTGACTTATGTTTTGGGAGTCATTTACAAAATGCTATGATACACTCACACTACTGATAACAATCTACTCAATGGCAAAAAAAAAAAGTAATTAGTATTGAGTCAATATCTTTTGTGAGAACTAACCATGTACAATGAAGACATTTCCTTTTGGCAACTTTAGAATTCAAGTGATATTAATAAAGAGTTACACCCATTTAATGCAATAAAATACAACTTAACTTCTCAAATATATAGAATTTTCCTAAAAGCCTTAATTATTTTAAAATTCTACAAATAATGGGAATTTGTTCAAAGTAAGAGTTTGTAAAACCAACATGCTTATGGCAAGATAAGAATATAGTTCAAGTGCATAACTTTATATAACTATGTACAAAGTAGATAATTATAAGTGCTACCATAATGTTGTTCACATTGAATTGTTTCCACCGACTGCATTTACAGAAAAAGTTATGCTTGAAGAATTGACAATTTCTCAAAAAAAAAAAAAAACTCAGTAAAAGTAGGGAGGTCTAATGTTTCTCTAAATCTTCTGAAAATAATTACAAATTCCTCAAAATATGAAAACATAGGCAAACCCAAAGTAATAATGAGCTGGATATAGCTTTCCTTTTTTCCTATTTTGTAAATGAGTACAAGTTTCCTGAAAGAGCAGCACATACCCTGAGAGCATGAATGTGCTTCAGTCACTTTTCAGCCCAAACCCCTTCCCACACTGGCTGAGCCAGTCACCCCAGCCATCTCCCTGCCCAGGTGCTGAGAGAAACCAATTTATTTTTGTTTGGTTATAGAACAATCAATTCTATTTTTATTTATGTTTTGTGAACTACAATTGTACCAAAACAAGATGGGAAACTCTCCATCACCAGTCTTCAGGGGTTAGCTTAATAGACAAAATTAAGCCCAACCTGCACAAAATACTGAGTGTAGAACATAAAATATTTTGTGTCCAGTTAATGGACCTCCCTTTTCTTTCTGCATGGTTCTGAAGAGATTGTGTGTGTGTGTAACACAGCAAACGCGGCCCTGAGTTACGGTCCATTGATTCTGTTGCTCTCCTCTTGTCCCCCAAAAGAAAACAAGTCGTTCTTCCTATGCAGAATGACCTTCCCATTCTTATCCTGACTTTCAAAGACATAATTTTCATTGAGCAACCAACTATACCTAAAGTCTCCATTTTCTTTTCTTTTATGGCTTTCCCACCTAAAAAACTCAAAACAGAAAACTTCCCCCCAATTTTGTTTTGCAATTACTTCTCATTAACTTAATTTTTTTTCTATTTTATTGCTATATAACACTTTTCAGATAGTGCTAACACTCTTAAAAGTAGGACTCAAAACTTTCAAGTGTTTTTCCCAGAGAGCTACATTCTATTTTCCTATTTTTGAAGAGTATATAAAGTTGCACTCAAAAAAAGAAAAAAAAAAGTCTAAAAATTTCCAACTTTCCAGAAACTTCTACTGTATCTTCTTCTGTGGTTTTTGAGGTTGGAAATAAAAAAAAAGACTAGAACTCAAATTAAAGCCTTTGGAAGAAGAAATAAAAAAACCAAACTATTTAGAGCCTTATCAATATTAAAAGAAAGAAGATATACCTCTGAAAATTTTTAATTCTGAAAAAAAAAAAACCATTGTATGTTAAGTACACTTTCATATGGGTAAAAAAATAAATAAACAAATAAACATATACATACTGGCCAGTTCTGTGTGCCTTAGCTTGCCAGCTAACCACTTCAGTCTGAGTTCAGACTCCTTGTGCCATCTATGACATCATATTGGTTTGTTATCTCACTTCTTACAGCCCAACTCACAATAAAAAAATTATGCCCGGGATTACCAAAAACAAGGGTAGCTAGCTTATGTGTGAACAACAAAAATCAAAATCAAAATATCTAAAAAAGATGTATCATGTGTCAAAATGAAATTAATAATAACAATGCAAAATAAATCCAACCCTATATGTAAGGTATTCCATAGTGTAGGTTGAGCTATGCATAGTTTTGAAAAATCCAGGATAGAAGTTTTCCACTGATGCACATAGGAGGTACCTTTTCTGTATGCTCAAAGCCTCACCCAAAAGATGATTCTTGATGAATCAAGAACGATTCATAAAATACATACAGCAAACATAAACAATTCAACTTCACTAGCTGAAGAAATACAAATTAGTAATGCAACATTTTTCAGCTACTAAATAATCAAAAACCCAAATGTGAAAATGTGTGATACCAGTAAGGACACAGCTCTCACACCAATGGAACTGCAAGTTGCTATGATGTTTCTTATACACTTGGCCACATTGCTTTCTGGAGCCTTAAAAGTGTTAATGACCTTTCACTGAATCTAATTTCCAGGAATCCAACTTAAGGAAGGAAGAGCTCCTAGGCAAGGACTTAAAATCTAAGAAATTTATTTCATATAAATAAATATAGAATATATTTATTACATATAACAGTGAAAAGTGGTAAGTTAACAAAAACATCCAATAGAAGTCTAGTTAAATAAACTAAATGAAAACTATTCATCAAAATATTAAATATGCAAAAGAACTGACACACGAAGTTAACGACATAGTAACTGCCACATGGTTCCGGCAGTGAGTGGTGCTGACATCAAGGTCTTTGCCCACCATGCTGTGGGTCTTTCCGAACCACATTCTTGTCTCTGTCCCTTCTCCATTCTCACTAGACCCACTCAGCTTACTTGGCCTCTTATTACAATAGCTGACGTCTTTGCCTCCAGTCTAGCTACTGTTCAGCACTTCACAACTCATTTCCATTTAGTTACTAGACTGATTAGAAAAAATACACAGATATATAAAGCCTATGTCTCCTGTACTCCCCTGCTTAAAATGATAAAGCCTATGTCTCCTGTACTCCCCTGCTTAAAAGCCTTCAACTGCAGATGAAGTAGGAAGAGAAGGGAACAGAGGGAGGAAAGGGTTAAAGAACAATTCTGGCTTTTGATAGCATTTGGATAGCCCTCACCAAAACAGCTGCTGCCAGTTTTCCAATAAAATACTTATAAAGGCCACTGAATTTATGCCAGAATTTGGAAATAATTTCCACTTGCCATGAGTGAAAAGGTGTTAGATTGAGGCACCAACAAAAATCCCCACCCGGCACTGCCCATGCTGTGTTCCACATGAAGCAAAGTCTACCTGCTGGAGAAAGGTGTTTTTACCTTCCTGACAACCCAAGACTGGGCAGCGTATTTTTCCCTCATGCCAAAGCACTGCTCTTGCTCTGTTAGCCTTCATCTCTCATCACAACCAGCCACTCCCGAAGAACTGGGCAGGAAGTAGGGAAAGCACAGTGAGATGTACCCCATTGTAAGGGGGTGCAGCACCTCAAGTGTACTCCATGGGATGGGAGAGGATAAAGTAAGAATCCTTGAACAGCACCTTTTGGGACTCTGGTTTTCCAAATATGTCATCAGTTCAGTGCAAAGAACTAGGTGGGAAAGGTAGGAAGTTTTTTAGTAGTCAGGTATATAGCAAGTAAGTTCTGTTGCAAAGTGGTATTGGTCTTGGAGAAGAATATAGCCAGCAGAGGAGAGAGAAAGTGTAGGCCAAGCCCAATCCACAGACCTTGTCAGGTGACAAACTGAATCTCATAAAGTCTTAACTTGTTTGAGGTGAGAGAAAGAAAAAAGAGAGAAAGAAAAAGAGAGAAGAGAGGGAGGGAAGAGGAAAGAGAGAGAGAGAAGGAAGGAAAGGATAGAAAGAGAGCAGAAGAAAGAAAAAGAGAAAGAACAAGCCAAGGGCTATGAAAAATCATCTCAGAATAAGGGATAGGAAACAGAAGCACGAAAACTCAAGAACAAATCTCTGAATCCACAAGAACAAGAATCTGAAACGTGGCCATATCCTTAGCAGAATGAAACAGGAAGCTCTAGGAAGAGCTATTTGGCAAAGATGAAAGGACTGCACAGTGGCAAGTCCACAGTGGCAGAATTTAGAATCCCCACAAGATGTAAAGTATACATTTTCATCCATGATATTGGTACTTGGTGTTTTTCTCCTTGATCAGTCTTGTTAGGGGTTAATCCATTTTATTGATCTTTTCAAAGTACCACTCCTTGGGCTTTGTTGATTTTTCTTTAATGCGTATCCCCACTTCTGCTTCATTTCTGACATTATCTTTTGTTATTTCTTCCATTCGATTGGAGTTTAATTTTCTGTTCATGCTATTTGAGATGAAACTTTCAATTACTTGAATTTCCAGCTTTCTTTATTGTAAATATTACATATATTTTCATTTAAAGCCTTAAATTACCTGTAACAACTCCATTAGCTGCCTTCTACAAGTTTTGATATGTTGTGTTTTCATTATCATCTAATTCACTATTTTCATACCTATTCTCATTTTTATTGTAATTTCTTTCTTAACTCACGGGTATTTAAAAGTTTACTGCCTAATTTCAAATATTTTGGAAATTTTATAGTTATCTTTCTGTTACTGATCCCCTTATAATTATATTGTAGTACAAAAACATATTCTGTATGATTTCAATCCCTTGAAATTTGTTAAGACTTGCTTCATGACCCAGCAGATATTCAATTTTGGTAAATGTGCTGCAAGAACACTTAGAACAGAGCTGCAGAAGACTTCATCTGGAGGACAGACATCTAAAAAGATAGGCAAGTGAAGAATTGGTATAAAAATTTTTAAGGTCAGATTTATAACTTAAATATTTCGGTCACCCGGTAAAAAGAGAATGACTCTTGATAAGAACAAATTTAAAAATGGAGGAAAGAGAGAAGTAAAACTTTTCAACAGCCTCAATATCCCGTTCTATATTTTGTCATGGATGTCACTACATCAAGAAAGTCCTGAGTCACATGATTTTAATTGCAAGTGTT